AGAGGTATACACACTTCTCTGATCGTTCTTCCTATCCATAACACTCTGAAATGGGCCTCTATTAAGAAGGAGATTGTCCTACTTTTTAGTTGCCATGGCAGCATATTGTCAGTAGCTCACCTTAAAAAAAAGGAGGATGCACCCAGTACTCAGAAGTGGACTATCAGGTTTGCCCATTAAGCCTTTTGTGTCCAACCCACGCCCGCTGCAAGCTTGCAGCAAACCCATGGAGCTAATATGCATGAAACATTTAGAGGAAATGGTTTCTTGTGAGCAGGCTCACCAGGAGCAGGTAGTACAGCACACCTCCCCATTTTCCCCAAGGGGTGTGTGTGTCTGTGTCTGTGTTGCTCAGAGGTACCAACCTGTGCCCAAGATTGAGGGGGCCTGGCACACGTCGTGTGTGTGTGTGTGTTTGTGTGTGTGTGACATCATGTGTGTGGCACACGATGTGTGTGTGTGACGTTGTGTTCCTGGCATGTTTGACATCGTATCTTTGTAGATTGAGTGCGCAGCCCAGCATGGCATGGCTTCAATGGCGGGCGGCTCCTCCTGTCTCATGCTCATGAGGAACCAGGCACTGAAGCTGTGCCCTGCTTGACTCCATGCTCAGCCTCCTCTGCCCCTCAACATTGAGTGGACCTGGCCCCTTCCCAGCAGACACTGGGGAAGCTGAAGACACACTGGCTCCATAGAGTTGGCACCCTTGTTGTTGTTGTTAGTGGCAACACCAGCAGCAACTCTATTGGCAGCATTTTGTCCACTCTTTTGTTCACCATTTTGCATAGCCCACAATGCCCTGGACTTTAATTTGTTCTGGGGCAGTGCTTGTGTGTTGAGGGTCAGGGCATGGCAGACCCCTGATAATATTCAGGGAAAATATTTTGCAAGGTGACCTTCTTTTTCTATCAGGAAAAGGCTGCCTCATTGCAGGGCAGATTTGAGGGTAAACCATACGTGGAATGAGTCTGCCCCTGCGGCTTGATGGAGGTAGAAACTGTCTCTCATGTCTTGTTAGGCTGCCGTTTCTACGGGGATATACGCTCGGTCTTTATCACCCCTGTTATACAAAAATCTCCAAATGGGTCCGAACTTCAGTGTCTGAAACTCCTGGTAGAGGACAAGGATCTAGAGATCACGCTAAGGGTGGCCAAATTCTGTGCGACTGCCATAAAACTTAGGGAACAAGCTGTACTACCAAAATGATTAAGGTTTTAAATGACAATTTTAGCTTATATTTTAGTGATTAAGATTTAACATATATTTTTTACTGCTGCTATATCTGTATTGTCCCTGTTATACCAATTGCAATTCAATGTATCCCTATCGTGTTTTATGATTTTCCTGATATTGTAAGTGAGCCGGAACTGGTCTGTGACCGTAATAATAAATTCATTCATATCAGGAAAAGGAAAATCTGAGAAATGCCCTCAGAAAAAAAATGCCTTTGGTCAAACCTCAGCTCAGTGCAATTAAAAACATTTTTAAAAAAATAAAAAATCTTGACGGTGGCATGAGCAAATTTAATCAGGAAGCTGCTTCCATGGGCCGAGGTACCATCCCCTGTCCAAGAATTCTCCCTATATTAATAGTTCTTCCCAGATCACACAGTGAGTATTCCCCTACAGATTTTATAAAGTTCTGCTAGCACACATTTTAGGGGCTGTTAAGGGCAGATCTGTAACCAGAACACACAGTGAGAAAATGTAATAAAGAGATCTAAGCGGGGAGATGTGATCCTTAAGAAATTGTTTTGAATAAACCAAAGCTGCAGTGGAGAGATGAAACTGAGGTTGTGGGAGTGGATGAAGCAAGTTCTGGGATTTAGATATGGATATGCCAAATCAATGCAGGCTGACCTATCTGTTTACTGCTGCCTCTAAGACTGTCCACAGAGGTCTGACAATGCTTCACAGCATCCTTCTGATACTCGATGCTGCACATGACAGGAAAACAAATCCAGGATGAGGATGTACATACATGATCTGTTCCACTGTGCCTCACATGGAAAGGTCAGGCCTCTGGGTTCCCCATGGACATGTCTGTGGTGCTCTTTGAATAAAATTAATAAACCTTCATAATCTCATCACTATGATTGCTATGTCTGAGCCTCTTTAGAAGTCCTCTCCAGATGCTGTTTCTTGATTAAAAATAGGCTGCATGGTGCTTCCCCAAGACTTGTGGCATTGCCCCCACCCCACCCCCCGCATGCTGGGAAAAAATTGCAGTGATTACTTTTTTGAGAGTTATGTGATCTTGGCAGCAGCAAAGACAAACCTGTCCAAGTGCTACAGAAGAGTTTAAATGAAGGGGGAAGGATGCAGTTGGGCGATGCCCCAAATCAGGGCTGGCCTGCCTATTATTATTATTGTTATTATTATTAATTGAATTTATATACTGCCCTATACCCGGGGGTCTCAGGGCAGTTCACAGAATAAAATCAAGATATAACACTACAAAATACAGTGGTACCTCTTGTTAAGTACTTAATTCGTTCTGGAGGTCCGTTCTTAACCTGAAACTGTTCTTAACCTGAAGCACCACTTTAGCTAATGGGGTCTCCTGCTGCTGCCACGCCGCTGGAGCATGATTTCTGTTCTCATCCTGAAGCAAAGTTCTTAACCCGAGGTACTGTTTCTGGGTTAGCAGAGTCTGTAACCTGAAGCGTCTGTAACCTGAAGCGTCTGTAACCCGAGGTACCACTGTACATAGTAAAATAAAAAAATTTAAAAATCCAATAGCCCCCACCACATTTTAAAATGGCATAGGATGTCAGTCAAATGAACCAAAGGCCTGGTTAAAAAGGAACGTTTTTGCCTGGTGCCTAAAGGTGTATAATGAAGGCGCCAGGCAAACTTCCCTGGGGAGAGCATTCCACAGATGGGGAGTCACTGCAGAAAAGGCCCGTTCTCATGTTGCCACCCTCTGGACCTCTCATGGAGGAGGCACACGAAGAAGGGCCTCAGAGGGTGAGCTCAGGGTCTGGGTAGGTTCATATGGGTAGAGGCGGTCCTTGAGGTATTGGGGTCCTGAGCCGTTTAAGGCTTTATAGGTCAAAACCAGCACTTTGAATTGGGCCCGGAAACTAATTGGTAGCCAATGCAGTCGGGCCATGAGGCGGACAGACACAGCTGTCTTGGATGGTGGAATCTCATGGGGTGGCTTACCTATGGAGATCCGACCTGCCCCTGCTGCTTCTGCCAGAAAAGCAAGGCTAAGCGATGGTGGCAGCTTCTAGTGAGACCTCACAATTTCTCTTAAGACAGTGTGGCGCTTGCGCAAGATCTTGCTGGAAGCCACTGTGTGACTCCAGGAAGTGAGGTTTCAACCGGAGGGGAGATGGCACCTTTGTGTTTTGCCTCAGGTGACAAAACAGGGCAGGCTACCCCATCCTGAGTTAGCAAGGCCAATCCATTGGTAGAAATACTCTATCCCGTGGCAATCCTGTTCCAGATGTACTTTCCATTACGGAATCCCTGCATCCAACCTTCATGGCTATGTAGGCACTATTCCTGCTGGGTGAATGGAAATCCTGCATCTGGTTGCTGCGTAGATGCTCAGTGATGTCAGCTTTGATGCTGCTGGTCACCTGTAATGGGGAAAGGAGGAGGACTGAATCCAGCTCTTCCCTTTCCTCCTCCTAAAAATGGTCAGTGCTGCCATCACCAGCTATCTGTTTAATGAGCATGGAAGAATGTCCAAGCTACTACCAACAGTGGAAGATTGGCAGATGAAGATGATGGACTTTTCGGAGCTAGCTGACCTGACTAGAAGAATCCGCGACCAGAAAGAAGAGGAGTTTCAAGAGGACTGGAGGAAATTCAAGGACTATTTGAATAAATATTGTAATATAAAAAATTAGAAATTACTTGAAAGAAACAAATAGGCCTAGGATTAAATTAAGTTATAATTAAATAAATGGGATTCAGAATTTTAAGAAAAGTGAATAAAATGGACTATAATTGGAAATTGTTTTAGTTTAATAATGATACTGGAAAGCTTTTACTTTTAATTACAAGGAAACTCAGAAGGGAGGGATTTGAGGAAGTCAACCAAGACGTTTAAAAGGTTGGTTTTGTGAAGAATTAAGTTTGTTATTATTGTCTATTTGTTTATTGTTCCCCCTTTTTTCCCCTCCCTCTTTCTTTTTTTTTCTTTTTCTTTTTCCTTTTCTGTTTTTGTGTATCATTTTGCTTTGTGGTTTGTGTTATCACGGTGGAAAATCTAATAAAAAAATATTATAAAAAAAAAGATTGTCCAAGCTGGCAGAAGAAACAGTAGTATAGTGAGTTCAATGGATTTATTATTATTATTATTATTATTCCACCGCTGGATTTGGGCTGTATTTCTAAGGCAAAGGTTAAAATTCTTTGTGCTTTTGCAAATTCCGGAACACAATTGTTTTTTGTGCAGTCTTGGTCTTGTTGCTGCAATGATGGTGGGGATGCACTTAAATGTATACTAAGCGCTGCTCAAAGAATACAAGTTCCTGCTGCAACAGTTTACAATATAAGATAGTACAGTGGTACCTCAGGTTACAGACGCTTCAGGTTACAGACTCCGCCAACCCAGAAATAGTACCTCGGGTTAAGAACTTTGCTTCAGAATGAGAATAGAAATTGCTCAGTGGCGGCGTGGTGGCATGGTGGCAGGGGGAGGCCCCATTAGCTAAAGTGGTGCTTCAGATTAAGAACAGTTTCAGGTTAAGAATGGACCTCCAGAACGAATTAAGTTCTTAACCCGAGGTACCACTGTATTAGAGAGAGAAATAATTCTCATATATATGGAATTCTGTATGACACACACGTACACACACTGCTACTATGCAACTTACTCCCGAAATATCATAATGCTTAACGTTCCCAGATTCATCAGCCAACACCCACATTGTAAGATTCAGTTCCCATAGGAGCTGAGCAATCCTGAGCACTGGAATTGTAGAGTTGGAAGGGACCCTGAGGATCATATCGTCCAGCTCCCTGCAGTGCAGGAATATGCTATGGTTCCATACAGAGATTGAACCTGCGACCTTGGCATTATCAGCACCACACTCCATCCAACTGAGCTATCCTAACTCCATGGTGAACAAACATGATAGTCTACCAATTTAATAGATTTAAAAATCCGTCTTCCCAGTTTCCTGCCTAGAGCTGTCAAGTCACGAGTGCAGGATTCCTTCCTTACTGCTGAACAGGGAGATGAGGCCATTGCAGCCTCTCTTCCCTGCCATCAATCATGTTGTTTGCCACATTTACACCAGGCAGTGAAAGCACCATGATATCACTTTAAACAGGTGTGGTTTCCCCCAACAATTTTGAAAAGCGAAGCTCATTAAGGGTGCTGAGAGTTGTTAGGAGACCCACCTATCCCCAGTGTAGTGTAGTGGTTAAGAGCGGTAGACTCGTAATCTGGTGAACCGGGTTCGCATCTCCGCTCCTCCACATGCAGCTGCTGGATGACCTTGGGCTAGTCACACTTCTCTCAAGTCTCTCAGCCTCACTCACCTCACAGAGTGTTTGTTGTGGGGGAGGAAGGGAAAGGAGAAAGTTAGCCGCTTTGAGACTCCTTCGGGTAATGATAAAGCGGGATACCAAATCCAAACTCTTCTTCTTCTTCACAGAGCTACAGAGTCGTTTGTTCTGGGAATTGTAGCTCGAGGGGGAATAGGGGCCTTTATGGGGGGGGGCAGTGATAAGCCAAAAGGCAACACATTCTTGTCTCACTGGTTTTTCAGGAGTAACTACCTGTAGATTGTTTTTCTCTCAGATTTTACTTCCTTATTGCTTCTTCCAGAGCTGGATCAAGACATTTTGCTGCCTGAAGCAGAGGATGAAATGGCGTCCCTCCCATTTCACATACAGAAAGGGACTGGGCAATGTTTCTATTTTACTTAATATTTGTGGGGTTTTGTGTCAGCGTTGCTTGTGCAGGTTTCCCCCCCCTCCACCTCTCTCTCCCCTTTTCTTCCTAATGTCTCAACAAATGAAACTGATTTGTAAAAAAAAGTTACATGGGAAAAAACAAACGCGAGGGAGACATTGCACATACCTTTGTAAATCAAGAAAATCTTTAATAAAAATACATATTTTTTTTAAAAAAAGAAGAAGAAATGGACTGGGCAGGCAGTTGCATCAACACTGGGGTGTGGTAGGCTTCTTTACCACACCTGAGGACAGTAGGCTGTCTTCAGGGTTTAGGGCAGTTGGCTATCTCCTTCTTCCTCATGGCAGGGCTGGTGCTGGCTTCCTCTTCAGTCAGTTAGCACAGGACTTGCCTTTTTTTTAACCTCATAATGACTCCATGATGGTTTGCCAGTTCCCTCAGAAAACTGCCTTTAATACTCCACAGTAGGTAGGACCACCTCGCGACTAGATTTAAACAGACACAAGCTGTTTAATTTAACTACCTGACCATTTTATTTCCTTTCCCCCCTTTCTAATAAATGCCAGCCCACAAGCTGTCAATGAGCAATTTTAAATCCACCTAAATTAACACAAGCGGATAATCGATTGCCATGTCCACTCTGCCAGCAACCGTCTTGTGTGTAGGCATTTATGCTTTTTAGGTGGTAGCAGCCACACATGTCTTATATGTGTTGGGTTAGAAGTCCACATGTGAAGGAAATAAATCCATCTTCTCAAAGCACCAGTGCATTGTGTGCTCACTCAGTCCCCTCTGCTGCGTCAACATGGTCCTAAGACAAACATACAAGGCACCCAAAGTGTTTGCTGCATGACATTCTGGCTTTTCTTTCATCCTTCATGAATATAAATGCTCCCCTCCCCCTCTGGCAGCCCTTTCAGCCCAGTGTTTAACTCTCTCACTTGAATCTCCAAGCCTGACCCTGCTTTGTATGGTTGGCATCAATGCTTCAGGGAAGGAATCCATTTCACTTGCTCAGATGTCAAGGGAATTGAAAGCTCTGCAAATATTTCCTCGATCTAAATTACACACCGACCCCAGCAGGGCTGAACTCGCAATATAATCCAGGTTATGAATTGTAAATCAGAAGCTGTGCAAAAAAAATAAAAATTTTTTTAAAAAAATTCAATAAGCCCCACTACCCAGGCCTGTCACCGAACACACTTGCCGTGGCATTGTAGTTCAGTGCACATAGCATGCTGGACCAGCTCTTAAAAGGCCACAGAAAACTCATTTCTCCTCCCTTGTAAAAGCCAAAGGCTTCCCTTACCGAGGTCACATGTGATAGCTTTGGTTTATGGCCACAGAGTGATGTTCAAGCAAGCATACTGTCATTTGGGGAAAAGCCGCGCGGAGCCCCGGTCGAGGCGGGGAGCACTTAATGGCATGATGGACCCACAACTGATGTCATGACACGACATTTCGACCAACAGATCAAAAATGGAATTGGAGTTCTCTCTACAGTTTCAAGAGGAGCAGCAAATGTCAAAAACCCAAGGCCAAAAGGGATATCTTTGGAGCAGAATGCAATTAATAGTTTTTTTCCCTTCATTTTTTTAAAGCGAGTGTTGCGAGCATGCTGCATGTTCCAGAACCAGAAATCATTGCTCTGGGACGCTGATCTAGGAGTCTCTCCAACATTATGTTGCTCACGTGGATGGACAAACCAGGAAAAAAAGTATAACCTGGGTCCAATCAAAGCGCTAAATGTAAAGGTAAAGGGACCCTTGACCATTAGGTCCAGTCGTGGCCGACTTTGGGGTTGCGGCACTCATTGCTTTATTGGTCGAGGGAGCCGGCGTACAGCTTCCGGGTCATGTGGCCAGCATGACTAAGCTGCTTCTGGCGAACCAGAGCAGCGCACGGAAACACCATTTACCTTCCCGCCGGAGTGGTACCTATTTACCTACTTGCACTTGGACGTGCTTTCGAACTGCTAGGTTGGCAGGAACAGGGACCGAGCAACGGGAGCTCACCCCGTCGTGGGGATTCGTACCATGACCTTCTGATCGGCAAGTCCTGGGCTCTGTGGTTTAACCCACAGTGCCACCCTCGTCCCTAATTAATGCATTAGCCTATTGCATATCTTCTTTCTGGCCCCAGGAGTCAGATACCAACAGGCTGTGGCCAATCAGTGATATGAGCCTTATTCCACAGTCAAAGGTTAGCAGGATTATTATTATTATTATTATTATTATTATTATTATTATTATTATAGCAACACTAAAAGAAAGATAAACTGCTATGGTAAACGTCTGTGCCCCTAGATGTCAGGGACTGGACTGAGGAGGAATAGTGGAGACCCCCCCACACACTTCCCAGAGAAGAGGTAGACAGTATAGATCCACAATAGTGGTTTGAAGAAGGTCGCAGCTCAGAGGCTGCAGAGGGGAGAAGCTGGGAAATATTGGGAGAGGAGCAGGAAGAAGCAGCAGCACCGGGGAAGAGACAGCTGACAGACTCAGTGTCCTTGGAAAGCATTTCTGACCCCCCTTCTCCCAGAACCTGGCGGGCACTGAAAGTAGGAGAACAGAAAGCCCAGAGGCAGAAAGCACAGATCAGCCAACATAGGGATGATGTATAAGAAGAGAGATGGAGGGGGTGGGGCTTTATTCAGAACAACGCCATTGCCCAAGAGACTGCATTTCTACACCTCTCTTTGGGACTATTGAATAAAAGACATTGGTAAGAGCTTCTTGTCTCTCTGTTACTGGCAGCCTGCCATGAGGGGGAGGGATCGGTTTCCTGAAGCCTGACATTACCTGAACCTGTGGACTGGGTAAGAACATATAAATGCAAGAAACCTCCTTGTCCTGAGTAAGACAATTGGGTCCATTGGCAGCAGCTCTCCAGGGTTTCAGTCAGCAGTCCTTCTCAGCCCTACCTGGTGATGCTAGAGTTTGAACCTAGGGCCTTCTGCGTGCAAGGCAGGTGCTATACCAGTGAGGCTTGTCCGCCATCCCCCATCATAGCTGTCAACGTTTTCCTTTTTTAAAGGGAAATTCCCTTATTCCGAATAGGATTCCTCACAAGAAAAGGAAAAAGTTGACAGCTATGCCCCCCATGAAATGGGCATCAAACATATCAAGGAGGGAGAATTGCTGCACATCTGGTGGGTAAGACCTGAAGTGTGGAGATATTTTGCCGGCACTAATTTAGCACAACGTGACCGAGCAATAGCAAGCCTTCAGCTCACGTTCTCCCCTTCTCCTCTCCTCTAGGGCAGCCAAGAGGAGAGGCCGGGCAGGATTTTTTCCCATCTGGAAAATTGGCTCTGCCATTTGGGTTTTTGCCTACCTCATAGCAATCGTCACAACTTTGTAAGACAGATAGGCATTGGGTAAGCCTGATCTTGTTCGGAGGGGAGGTTGTAGCCTCTACCTGTCCCTCCATGGGTAAAGGGATCCTGTTAAAAGGATCCGGGAGGAGGGGCTCCTGTCCGATGCCCAGACGGGGGCTAAGGCCATACCACTCCTCCAACGGGGACCGCTTGGGGAATGCCCTGATTTGAAGTAGGTTGTAGGGCATCCTCCACCCACCCACTGCTGGCTTCACTCCCAGCAGATGGGCAGGAGAGATATACACAGTCAAAATTCCTATGGCCAAACCTTCACATCTGTAACCAATAAAGTTGTGGCCTGATTTGACCCCCAAACCAATATGCCGTGTGTTGTCTAGTTGTTTGCACCTTAGGGAATAGGGTGCAAACCATAGTTTTAAGTAACCACAGTTGCCCCTAATTCAGGTGTCACAGGAAACTATGACCAGAAGCAACCATACCCAGCCTCTTATTCATAGGAGGGAAGTGTGCATTCTTCCCAAGGCTCACTACTGCTCATGCATATAATGCAAAAATATAGTTTTGCTTTATTTTTGAAATTGGCAAGTGCTGTAGTAAATCCCTATTGTTCTGTTGCTCAAACGGCCCTCATTCTAAACACGCAACAGCTTAGTTGAATCCTGCCCTAAATCTCCCAGGAATCAAGTGTGCCACACCAAACTTTCTAATTCATTAGAGTGTTTCTTCTTCTTCTTTTTAAGCATACCCAACCTCTGAATATGTAGCAAATAATAAGTTGAAGTATCTTTTTAAAGTGTTGGTGCTTGGATAGGGTGGGTTAACAAACCCACTGCCAAATTCCGACCCAATCTTGATTTGATAACATAGTTAAACAACAGAGCAGTATTAAAAAGTGTGTTCACATTATTGTTAGTCCTCGAGAGTTGCTACATGAAATGCAATACAAGATCTTTTATCCAAAACACCCAGGGGGATGTGCCTTTCTAAAGGATAAAGGACTACTTGGTTGATGGAAAGAACCATAGACAGCTGACAGCTGTCATTGCAGAAACCTCTCCTGCACAGACAAAAATGCTTTGGTGTGCTAAAAAGTATGTTCTTTAAAAAATAATGCCCGTAGGTACAGTTAATTTATATGGCTTAGGGCCTGTCGCTTTAAAGTGGTCGGTGATTGGCTCAGAAGACAGAAAAGTTTGAATCAATTAAAATAAATGGTGTTTTAAAAAAGGTATTTGGAAAAAAGCGAAATAAATCATAAATGAAGTTGATGCAGTGTCTCGAACAGCTGTTGAGTTAATACTTGCTTATCTTTTAAAACCATGGGTAATTCTAACATCAATTTAACAAAAATTGATCTATGGCAGCTACAGGCGTAACTCCCACAACTAGCGATATGAAAATATTGTCAAATAAACAGATATTGCAAGGAGGTGAAATTAAAGTGGGGATTTAATTCTCTTGCTTCAACAGAGAATCTGTCATGTGTCGGTTTTCTGGCTGATGTCTTTTTATTGTTGTTTTGTTGAGAGGATGTCAGCCAAGTGAGCACGGAGCACAAAGACCAAAGGAAGAGAAACGAGATATATTAAAATGAGGATCAGATGAAGGATCAATTTTGTATTGTTACTGCTATTGTTTCTGGATTCGAGAAAGGTGACCATAATGCACTGTTGGTACATTATAGTGAATCTTGCCCAGCGCTGTACCCAACCATTAACTGGAACATGCATGAAATAAATATTGTTTTATTGTGCTTTTATTGTGCTTTTAATTCTGTTGGGAGCTGCCCAGAGCAGCTGGCAAAGCCCAGCCAGGTGGGCGGGGTATAAATAATAATAATAATAATACACACACAATAATAATAATTCCAGGAATGGAATGGTATGGTTTGCCAGGGCTTGGCTGCAGCATGGTAAAAGGTAAAGGGACCCCTGACCGTTAGGTCCAGTCGTGACCGACTCTGGGGTTGCGGCGCTCATCTTGCTTTATTGGCTGAGGGAGCCGGCATACAGCTTCCAGGTCATGTGGCCAGCATGACTAAGCCGCTTCTGGCAAACCAGAGGAGCGCACGGAAACGCCATTTACCTTCCTGCCAGAGCGGTACCTATTTATCTACTTGCATTCTGACGTGCTTTCAAACTGCTAGGTTGTCAGGAGCAGGGACCGAGCAACGGGAACTTACCCCGTAGCAGAACATATTATTTGCATGCAGAAGATCTCCAGGTTTAATCGCTAGCATCTCCAGGTGGGATAGGGGAAAACCTCCTCTTTGATGAGACAATGGTTTGTGTCAGTAAAAGGCAGCTTTCTATGCCCTACTTTGAAGAGAACAGCCCTTGAAGACATAGCAAGTAAAGAATGGAAGAGAATGCTTTTAAGAATATGCAGAGTGACTTACCCTCACTGCTAAATACTCACAACCAACCTTCACAGAACAGAGATGTGGACAAGAGCTTCCAGAGAGGAAGGCATGACTTTGAATTGGGGTGATCCCCCAGCCATCTGAGCAAGTAAATACCTTTAAGGAGCCAATGGATCAATAATCATGCACGCCTCCCCTGCGCCGTAAATCCTCTGGTGAGTTTTATTTATAATGCTTGCCTCTCGTGATTATTTGGGCTCGTCCCAATTATTCGTTTCAGTTCTGTTCTCACCACATTTTGTGGCAGAGAGTTCTGCAGACATTTTGTGAATGAAAGAGCTTTCCCAGTTCACCCGTTTGTGATCTCTCTCTCCCACAGTTTTTTCTTCCCCAACCACCTGTTTGGTTTGAGGCATGTGTGGGAGCAACATTTGCCATAGGGTTCCGGCTGCAGAAACTCAAGCTTGGATATGTTCATGTCACAAAGACATTGTTCCCATCCCAACTGCGTATTGCGACTGGAGGAATTGGTAAGAAGCTCTAGCTGTTACATCAACACCCAGGAACAAGTGTTATTATGCGCCGTGACAATATTTGATGAATTCATATGCGCCTAGGGGAAGAGACTAAGTAGGTGAATAAAGTGAGAATATTCTCTGCGACAATCAATATGCCTTCAATTGAACCGTCTCTACTGATGTGACATTTTGATTTTTCTGCACCGGATGTAACTATTAACTAGATTTATGGCATCTTAAAAGAGGAAGCAGAAAAGGAAATGGGAGAACATGGACCAGCCCATGCTAACATGGGCAATGGCATAAAAGTAGACCATCCTGCAAATGCTTCATTTATTGTGTGTGAGACATTAAACAGCACTGTCATTTACAAGGCCATGGGGTGATAAATGCATCGAGGCTGTTGGAGAAGAGTTGGTCAGGACATTGACTACATGGAACTGGCGGAAATGACTGGCAGAATCCGAGACCAGGGAGAAGAGTCGGTGGAAGAAGATTGGAAAAAATTCAAAGTATATTTACAGAAACATTGTAAAATTAATGAGTGTTAGAAGGATGCTGGAATGAAGTTATATGGTTTTAGTAGAAATGCAACAAAGAATTAAGTAAAAGCTGATTGATAACGGGTTAAAATGAAAAAATTTAAGGTTAGATCGTTAAGATAAATTATAGAAAAAAAATTGAGAAAGATGGGAAGAATTTGCTGAAATAGTGAATTGAACTAGAATACAAAAAAAGGGAGGTGTGAGGAGGTCGATGAAACAAGTAAAGGAAAGGTAAAGACATGGAATATTGGATGTGTGTTTTAGTTTTTTTCCTTTGTTTTTTCCCCCTGTATTGTTGTATTGCTTTTCTATGTTTTTTTTTCTTTTTTATTGTTGTCGTTTTTCCTTTTTCTGTAATTTTTAAACTTTTAATAAATATCATTAAAAAAAAAAAAGAGTTGGTCAGGACAGCATGGCTGCTTAAACGCAGAGACGTACTTTCGAAGCTCATGATGGGACAGATCTCAAATGAAGGAGCAGCTGTAGCAAATCAAGGTGAGTTGCCCTAAAAGTCAGCGGATGGTGAGGAAGGGAGATTGACTCTCGATGCATGATCCACCAGGAAGTTCCTCTATGCAAGGAACTGAAATCTCTCCTTAATCTAAATTTAACCCTCACATTGGCAGCGCTAAGCTTGCTCACGCCATGATCCTAGTCACCACCCATTCATTTCAAAGAAGTATGCACAGGAAAAGTTTCCATTGAATAGTGCCATTTGGGTCCCCCCCCCCAACTAAGACAGGGGGTAAAGATAAAGAGTCCCCTGACCCTTAGGTCCAGTCGTGGCCGACTCTGGGGTTGCGGCGCTCATCTCACTTTATTGGCCGAGGGAGTCGGTGTACAGCTTCCGGGTCATGTGGCCAGCATGACTAAGCCGCTTCTGGCGAACCAGAGCAGCGCACGGAAACGCCGTTTACCCTCCCGCTGGAATGGTACCTATTTATCTACTTGCACTTTGATATGCTTTTGAACTGCTAGGTTGGCAGGAGCAGGGACCGAGCAATGGGAGCTCACCCCTCATGGGGATTCGAACCGCCGACCTTCGGATCAGCAAGCCCTAGGCTCAGTGGTTTAACCCACAGCGCCACCCGCATCCCTAAGACAGGGGGGACCGATGGGCAAATTTGACAGTTTCAGTTTCTCTCATTCCCCCCCCCCAAGGTTTATATTTAGTTGGCCACATTTCCACCTCAGGTTGCGCTAAAAAAATAAATAAATGCTCACGAAAATTCATCAGC